CCTTGATGTCTACAAGTATCTGACAAATGGTTTAATAATTGAGACCAATAAATTAGAGTCAATCACATTCAGTTAGGAGAATCTAACATCTTTATATGCTGAAACAAGCCGACCTGCTTCTGGCTTTGCATTTTTATTGCCCTTTTGGTTATTTTTGCTTTCAGTCTCTACTTTATGTTAGTCTGAGAGTTTCTGACCTTATCAGGACGTCCTGAGATGGACCTGAATAGAAGTTGTTACTACACCTCATTGCTAGAATGTTCAAAAGAGAAAATGATTGGGAAAGTATTTGAAGGTCAGAAGTAAAAGATTTTAGCAACTAACCTTAGAATTTTTTTACCACAATAAAGATGTTATTATTGCTGGGTGCCTTCAAGTTGGCTAAGAATCACAGCCACCCTATGAACATCAGGTCAGAATCTTGCACTCTCCTGCATCATGATCTCCACACTTGTCCCTGTGTCAATCCTTCTTCTTGGGTGTCTTCCTCTCTTTCACTGACCTACCTTTCCCAGCACAATGTCTTTTTCCAAGGACTTTTCAATCCTAGACAATTAGAATACTCCGTATAAATGACGAAAAAATATGCAGCCTATTTAAATGTTACTTTTGAAATTCTCTTCAAGGACAGCTGACGAAATACCAATTTTTCCTTAACTCTGTAGTGCCATAGTATTCATTTCACCCTTCAGTAACCTGATATGCTGAAAAGAGACTGGGCATTAAAGACTTTAAAGTTGGATGACCTCCACAATATTGAGAGCCAGTCTTCAGAGAGCTTTCCTGCCTGATTGAAAAGCATGCAATTAATTCCTATACAAAGGACTTTGGAGTTTTGTTTGCTTTTTAAGAAGTAGCTCCAAGCACTTTGTTCTCTTTTTAAGCTGTTCAGATTGGGTTTGTGAATTCTTGGGGGTTTTTTTCCTGAAAACTGGTTTATTTAAAATTAATTTTTTAATCAAATCCTTAATTATACTTAATCATATTTAAGTTGTTGTTGTTGTTGTTATGTGCTGTCTAGTCGCCTGCTACTCATAGCGACCCTATGTACAACAGCCCTAAACTCCGCTCTGTCCTGTGCCAATCGCACTGTCTCTGACACTCCCATCCCAATTATCCCAGTCACTGAATCAATCCACCTCATAGAGGGCCTTCCTCTCCTGCGCCATCCCTCCACCCTCCCAAGCATGATGTCCCTCTCCAAGGACCGGTCTTTCCTCACTACATGTCCGAAGTAAGTTAGACGGAGCCTCAGAATCCTTGCCTCCAAGGAGCCACCCGGTTTAACCCTCTCCAGGACAAATGTATTTGTTTTCCTAGCAGTCCATGGTATTCTCAGTACTCTTCTCCAGCACCACAGCTCAAAGGCATCAGTTCTCCTTCTATCCTCCTTGGTCATTGTCCAACTCTCTGATGCATAACAGGTGATTGCGAAGACCATGGCCTGTATCAGACTCACCTTAGTCTCCAGAGAGACACCACTGCTCTTCAGCACTTTGGAGAGGTCCCTAACAGCAGACCTTCCCATGGCAATGCGCCTTTTAATTTCCTGGCTGCTGGTGCCAAGACTGTTGACTATGGAGCCAAGCAAACGAAAGCTGTGTACAATCTCAATCTCTTCACCTTCCATCCTGATGCTGCCGATTGATCCAGTGGTGAGAATCTTTGTCTTCTTGACATTGAGCCTCAATCCATATTGTAGGCTGCAGTCCTTGACACTCTGCAGCAGGCGCTTCAGGTCCTCCTCAGTTTCAGCAAGCAGGGTTGTGTCATCCGCATAACGCAGATTGTTGATAAATCGTCCACCAATCCTGACCCCACATTTCTCCTCATAGAGCCCAGCCTCCCGGATAATCTAGTAAATAAAAAATCATGACAGAACTTGTGAAAGTAATATGGAGCTACATATTATCTTCAGAAACTTCCTAGAAGCTTGGAAATAATTGGCATTAATTATTCTGATGGGTAGGAATCTAACACAATTTTACTCAGTGATAATTTTAATTGTCTCCGGAATAGGATTGTCATCTGGTAGTGTAGAGTTTAGCCAATTGTTCTGATAACCCAAAGTCAGTGCCTCTCTGGCAGTTTGAATTCATTATTGCTCCACTGAAATGGGCAATCTCCTCCTATGCAATTTACAGCCTTGAAAAACCTCCTGAAGGGTAAATGAGGAATTAGTTGCATTTGGAACTCAATAAGAAACTCGACACTGACTCATAGCAACTATGCACAATGAAACCTTTTCTGATCCTGCCCTATCTCAATATCACTTCTGTGTTTAAACACATTGTAGTTTTTACTGTGTCAATCCATGTCACTGAGCATCTCTATTTTCCTCCCTGATCCTCTACTTTTGTAAATATGATGTCCTTCTCTAAGTAACAGCCCTACCTGATAATATAAACAAAATATGTAAACTAGCCTTACCATTCTTGATACCAAGAAGTATTCTGGCTGTACTTCTTTTAAGACAGATTGTTGTTCATGGGCCACTGCATATTCAATGTCCTTACTGTTTATGTTTTTGTCTTTTTTATTTTTTAGTACACAGTTTTATTCCATATGTGACACAAAGGTCAATTATGTAATCATTTTACTTGATTAAAATCTCTGTAAAATATTCATATATATAGTAACCACGTTATTGTATCCTGTAGTTCTATGTTTTTGAGTCAGCAGCCTGCACCAGGATTAAGGTTTAACATTCTGAATAGCAGGTTGTATTCATTGTACTTTAAGTAAAACCATAACTTACTAATCTTAGGAAAGTGATTTTCTAGTCTGAAAATTACTGTTTACTTAAAACTATTAATAAGAAATAGTAGGGAGCTCTAATGGCCTTGTGGCAAGAAGCTGCACTACAATCCCAAAGGCATGTAGTTCGAGGCCACAATTTTTTTTTACTCTCCACAGATTGTTCAAAGGGCTTTTAGAGGCCTGCTATTTAATAAGCAGATGGTCAATCCTGCTTCCTCGTGTGCCTTAATTTGAAAACTCTACTAAAACTTATCTACCATGGGTAACCCTTGTGACATTTGACATAGCAGTGGCATAATTTTCAGTTTCACAGCAACCTCTACAAGTTATCTCAGTACAGTAAACTGACAGACAAGTGTCATACCGATTAGAACAAGGTTCTCCCCAAATACAACAAACAGACAAGTTAGTATGTACCTCTAATTACAAATCAGTCTTCATACCAGACTCAGGGTTTTCATCATGTTTATATTTTCTCTTCATATCTATTCAATTTGTTTGCTGAGCAAATTATTTGAGAACCTGGACACTATGAAGAACAACATAATATCAAGATCAGATGGAAGACTAATCAGTAGCCTGTGTTATGAAGATGACACAACCTTGCTTACTGCAAGTGAGGAAGACTTGAAGCACTTGTTTCAGAAGATCAACACATATAGCTTCCAATATGGATTGCATGCTAATATCAAGAAAACAAATTCTTACCACTGGACAGATAAGCAATATCATGATAGATGGAAAAGAAAAGATTGAAACTGTCAACAACTCCATCGTCCTTGGATCCACAATCAAAACCCTTGGTACCAGCAGTCAGGAAATTAGGAGTCATATTGTATTGGGAAAGTCTGCAGTTAGGAACCTCTTCAAATTATTTAGGAGTAGTAATGTCAGTTTGAGAACCACTGATTCAGGTTATGGTTTTTATAATCACTTGTTATGCATCTGAGAGCTGGAAAATTACTAAGGATGACAAAAGAAGAATCAATGCCTTTGAGCTGTGGTGTTGGAGAAGAGTACCAAATATTCCATGAATTGCCAAAAGAACAAAGAAATATATGTCTTGGAGAGGGTGCAGCCAGAGTGCTCTTTAGAGGCAAAGATGATAAAGTTTTGCCTGTCATACTTTGACATGTTGCTAGGAAAGGCAGAGGGACGTGATGCTCAGAAAGGAAGAGGGTTGGCAAAGAAAAGGAAGATCCTCAACCAGGTGGATTGACACACTGACTGCTGCGCTGGGCTTTAGTGTGGCAGGAAGCGTGAGGACGGCTCAGGATAGGAAAAGGAATAGATCTGTTGTTCCTAGGGTCATTATGGGTCGTATTTGGCTCAATGGCACCAAACAACAACAACAACACAGACAATGCCACCATAGTTAAGAAAGTTGGCTGGAATCTAACTTAATTTCAGCTTTCCCAAACATGTATCTAGAAGAACTGTGAGAGCATAAAATAGGAAAAATGATTTATTATTTGGTAATAATGATCTTGTTAACTAATTATAGAATTATTATTTTGATGATATACACTCGTATCCATTTTGAAATCCATCTACAGGAGCTGGCTTCTACAGAAGCTTGGTGGCTAAGACTGGTGAGCATTAAGGTGGAAAGTCGATTCTTTAAGGGGAGTGAAGGGAGGGAATACAGCATCCTAGTTAAAAAGCCTTTAGGTTGGCAGCATGAGGCTGGAATCCATTTTGAAAGCCATCTACAGAAGCTGGTTTCTATAGGAGCTTGGTGACCAAGCTTGGTGAGCATTAAGGAGAAAAGTTGATTCGTTAAGGGGAATGAGGGGAGGTGATACAGCTTCCTAGTTAAAAATTCATTAGGGCCTGGTTTAAATTGTTTTTTGTCAAACATTCTTCTAAGTGTTATAGCACTGATCTGTGCATTCCTGTACAGATGTTGTTGTAATGCTAAACACTGTGATACTGACGTGCCAAATATATTAATGGTTACCCATGGTAAACAGTGTTTGGTAGAGCTTCCCGATTAAAAGAAACTTGGAAGTAGGAGTGGCATCCACTTCCGAAATGGCTTACCTCTGTAAACTCTATGAACAGTGCTCATTTATTTCTTTCATAGGGTCACTATGAGTCATCTACCACTCAACAGCTCCTAACAACAATACTGGTATATGTATGGTTTTAATTCACTCATCTATTGTCTGTTCTCCTTGACATATATTAAGTTTTATCTCACACCTTAAAGTTTAATGGACATTTTTACTTTCTATTAGTTTTCCAGATCAAGAAATTCGTAAAGTAGCAGTTCAACAATTAGACCGCCTCTTGAATGACGAACTCTTGGAATATCTCCCACAGCTAGTTCAGGTAAGAACAGTACAGTTGCAAATAGATTCCAGAATTTTTACTAATAATTCCATCTTAAGATCCTAGTGAATCAACAGTAGATTTAATAAAAGTAATATTGTAATTTGGCAACCAAATCAATAAGTAATAATTCATTTGACAGTATAGGGAAACCAAAAGTATAACAGGAAAATTTAGAAAAGATGTTTTTCCTCTCAAACTATTTTTTTTTTGAGTGGATAAAATGTAAAAAGGAGAAAAGGCCAATTTCATTTAGTAATTAAAAGAAAACTATAATTTCAATGTTTATGATGAAATTTTTAAAAGTATTATATCTATAAAGCTATATTTACATAATAGAATACTATGCAGAACTGAAAAACAAGGAACTCATGAAATATTATGCAAAGTGGATGACCCTAGAGGACATTATGCTGAATGAAATATCTCAGTCACAAAACGACAGATATTGCATAGGCCACCACTGTAAAACAGGACTGACATTAGGGTTGAGGGAAGGTAGAGAAGAAGGGGAGGAATTATGTATGCTGCATTGCAGTGAGGGAGAGAGCTGTTTAAAAGGGATATATGATTGGGTATTATTGTCATGACAGGAGTCCAGAATGAAGGCTGCACATGGAGGGAGGGACTGCATACAAATGACAGAGTTTTTCTTTTACTTATCAAAGAGAAAAGTTAGTTGAGGGGGGGCAAGGAGAAAAGTACAACAATGAATGACTGGGAACCCTAAGTCTGTAAACTTTCATTAAAATTAATAAAAAAAGACAAAAAATGAATAACTATTAAAAGGATTAAATAGATATTTTTTATAAAATAACTATTTGGTAGTTAATTCCTCACATTTTATAAATTTATTGACTTTTCAAGAGGAGTCTTAGATTTATTAAAAACCTTATAAAAGTATCTTCTAAAGCACACATTTTCTATGCATTAAATTAAGACTTAGTGATAAGGAATTGTGCTGCCAATGTAAAGATACATAGTTCAAATCCAGCAGCAGCTCCATGGAAGAACAATGGTCAATCATCTCCTGTGTGATTTACTACCTCTGAAAACCCTCTTGAAGGTCAGCTAATGGTTGGTTCCAAATCAATAGTACAAAACGACAGCAGAGTAGTTTTACAAAAGAATATATAATAATTATATAAATAGTCTGAAAATATGGGCAAAGGCAAGGACTTAGACTAAAGTAAAACATGGAACATGTATTTACTAACACAAGTTGAATTGCTTACATGTGAGATATACTACTATGATGCATTTGTGCTTAAAGTGTCTAAAGTACAGAATATATTCTTACTTGTTTTTATGTTCATATAAGATGATACAGTATTAGTTTGGTAGTTAAAACACTTTACCTTGTAGAATAAGTTTGATCATATATAGAACAAGGTATTTTACTAGATACTTTTTCTGTTGCTGTTTTCAGTGGTAGTATTGTCACATGACTTGAAAGATACAAAATGACAACCAAAGTTCTATTTTTAATCTAAAGATGAGGTTACTTAATCAATTGATAATTGTTTTTGACTTACGTTGGCCTTTCTAGAGAAGTAAATAAAATCAAATGTATTTGGGAGCTCTGGTGGTATAATCCATAAAGAATTTCGTTGTTAAGACAGTGCCTTTCTGGAAATTTGAGTTGTGAGCCACCCTATAGGAGATATATGAGTAATCTCCTCCCATACACTTTATTGTTGTGATGTGACATTGACTCACCTAAGACTTATAGAACCTCTATATATACTTGCTCTGAACCCTGCTCTACTCTGAGCCTGTTTCACTATCTCTGATACACCTAGTTCCATTATCCCAGAGACTGTGTCAATCCAAGCCATCCAGAATCATCTTCTCTTTCAGTGTCCCTCCAGGGATGCACTTACAGCCCCCCAAAACCTGATGGAAGGCCAGCTGTGAGTCACTTCCAACTCAAAAGCAATAAATTTGGTTACGTTGAATGAGGGACAAAAGAGATATTCATCTGAAGGAAATGGATCACACCCTTATGTTATAATGTGTCATCAAGTTGGAACAAATCTAACTCCTGGCTGACTTTTCAGAGCCTATGTAATACCTGAGAGCAGATCTTTCATCTTTCCTTTGCAGAGGAGCTAGTGGATTTGAATCACTTGCCTTTGACTCGATAGCACTACTACTTACCACTAGAGCTCTCTTAAAAACACACGTCCTTACTGAGGCTGCAAACTCCCTAGTGTGGAAATCAGTTACCAGGCTAGAAGCTTTTCCTGATTCACATAGTTGCAGAGACTAACAAATTTAAGATCAACAAGTCAAGTAAGATAGCAGGCTACTAGTTTCTGATGTCAACAAATCAGAGATTAGCAGAAAATATGAAAAGCTGCTGTCTTAAGTACCAAAATCCCAAGGTCAGATGGTGACAAATCAGTTGCAAGATTAAAGTGAAACAAAAATAAACTGGCAATTGCCAGATATGCAGGCCACATTCTTATGGAAACACATTTTCAACTGATTGACTATTCATAGTAAATCTAATTGTACAGGTAATAACATTATTTGATTGTATGAAATAAATGAATACATTTTATCAGTTATTATCAGTCACTATATCAAAACTGCCATACCAGAAAATTATAGATAGCCAAGCTCACATACAACTATAACTATTAGGACTTCCCAATCACCTTCCTGGAGATCACTAAGTATCTCAAAACTGTGTCAGGGCTGTATCCACTCTCCATTCCTGTTAAATTTATATGCAGAGCAAATCATTCAAAATTTTATGCAGAAGAATGCGGCATGACAAAGAAAGGCTCTTAAATAACCTACACATGACACAACTTTGCTTGCTGAAAGTGATGAAGAATGAGATAGTTGGACAATTAGGCACTTCTTTGCAGAAGCTCAAATACTACAGAGTTTGGTATGGATTACATCTCAACATCAAGAAAATAAAATCCTCACCATTGGGTCAACAGGCAAGTTATAAAAAACGTAGAGAAGATTGATGTAGTTAACAGTTTCATCTTGCTTGTATCCACAATCAGCAGGCTTGAAACGGCAGTCAAGAAATCTAAAGATGTGTTTCAATGGGGAAGTCTACTGTCAGAGAACTCTCAAAGGTACTGAAGAGCAATGATGTCAATTTGAAGACTAAGGTGCATCAGATTCAAACCATTGTCTTTTCCATTACTTTCTATGCATCTCAAAGTTGAACATTGACTAAGGATGACAGTAGAAGAATCAATGCCTTTGAGCTGTGGTGTTGGAGAAGGGTACTGAATATCCTATGGGGTGTCAAAAGGAGAAACAAATAAGTCTTAGTGAAGGTGCAGCCAAAGAGCTACCTAGGGAAGGATGATTAAACATGTCTCATATACTTTGGGTATGTTGTTAGGAGAGCCCAGTCCTTGGAAAATGGCATCATGATTTGAAGAGCGGAGAGATAGCATAAGAGAGGAATACTCTTTTTTAAAAAAAAATTTTTGTATGAGTGTACCGTCAAATCAGATCTGACTGGTACAGGAGATTGTCCCTCCTTTCCCAGCAGAGCATCTGGTGGATTCGAACCGTGCACCTCTGGGATTGTAGTTGCAGCTCCTTGCCACTAGGCCACCAGAGCCCCCCTAGGAATACTCTTAAAGAGATGGATTGACACAGTAGCTGAAGCAGTGGACTCAAGTATATCAGGAATGAGAAGATGGCACAAATAGGACAGGGTTCAAGTCTGTTGTTCTTGGAGTTACTAGGAGCCATAGTTGACTCGACAAAATTTAACAACAACAACAGCACTTTCTTGAGGAAAAAAACTACTCCTCCTCTAATATAAGAAATATTCTAAAATCACATATTCTTTACCAGCTAAATATAAACTCAATCTGTATGCTGAAAATTAGAGAGACTGGACTTTATGAAGTAGAATATGGTATCAAGTTTGGAGGAAGACTCATCAACAATCTGGGTTATACAGATGACAAAACTTTGTTCACTGAAACTGAAGAGGACTTGAAACATTTGCTACAGAAGATCAAAGACTGCAGCCTTCAATATGGATTGTATTTCAAGATCACCAAGCAGACAGAAATCATCACTACTGGGCCAATAGGCATTGTCATGATAGGTCTAGAAAATATTGAAGTTGTTGACAATTTTGTCTTGTGTGGATTCAAAATCAA